GCTAACCAAAAAATCAATTTCATTACTTGAATGATATGTTGATGAGCTTTATTAATAGCATTATTTGTAACAGTTTTCATTGCCCTTTTTTGATTTTCTAATCGAAAAGCTTTTTCATGTTGCTTAGTACCAACATGTTCAGATAGTGCACTAATTTTAAAATATTTTGATCCTGTACATTAAATAAAATAATTAGATAAATAATTTAATAAATTGTAGGAAAATACATATGCAATCAGAGTTAAAAATACCTTTAGTTGCTTTAGCAAATTCGTTTTTTTGACCATGAGCCATACATAATGTATAGAACATTCTATTTTTGTTTACATCATAAAATACCTAAGGATATTGATCCTTTCAAGAAGAATGATATGTATTGTGTATTTTTCTTTGAAACCTAACCTTTTTTTTAGAATTACGAATATGATGAAATAAAATAGGAGCTTTGGCTTTTTGTTTGTTATTCTTAGGTAAAGAAACTATATATTTTTCAACTCCTTCATTACTGGAATTATTTGTTTCAGTTGAACTATGTTCTAAATTATTGTCTGAAATATCACTAAAAAATTTAAAATAAAGTTAAATTAATTGAAATAAAAGTAAATTTAGTTATATACTTTAAATTTAAGCTATATATTTACTATTCAATTTCAAAACTTTCATCTTGGTCAGAAGAAACTAACTGTACTTTATCTTCGGTCTTCTTAAAAAAATTTAATAAAGACATTATGTACGAAGAAAGTTACTGATTATCAAGTTATACGAATTGCGAATATGTAACATATGATCCGACCTGTAAAAAAAATCTCAGCCAATAAAATCTGGACAAATTTAAATTTTCCAGTTCTGGATAAATATCCAGTTCTATAACAAAAATTCCGGATTTTGAAATAAAAATCTGATAAATCCAGAATTTTTATATACTAGTTTGAACACTGATTATAAATATAGGATTACTAATTGATTATAAAATATAAATATTTAATTTATTATAAGTAAAAATAATAATGGATATATCAGTAAATAAAAGTAAAATTACCTTATATATTTAATATATATGAAATAGTAGTATTTATCAGGATATTCTTAAAAATTTGTATATAAAACTTTAGTTATAGTAATCCATACTAGATAATAATAAACCTTTACAATAATTAAGTTAACTTAATAAGGTAAAAAATTATTATTTAATATTGTCTATATTATATAAATATTATATCTTTCTTTTAAATTCTTATAATAATCTATACTTTAATAATTATCTTTTTTTCTTTTGAATCAGCTGATTTGAATTTAATTAAATCATAAATCTGATTATATAAGTATAAATATTTAAAAAAAAATATGATTAATCTGATTTATTATATTTGATAATTTTTATTCTTTTTAAATATTTTAAATTTCTTTACTTTATAATTTTGAGTAATCTTATTTTCTTTTTAATTTATCAAATTTATTCTTATTAGAACTAATTTTAAATTCAACTTGTTTTATTTTTATATATATATCGTATTCGTCTGAAAATAAGTATTACTTAAAAATAAGCACCACCCATTTTATATAGAATCTGTAAATAAGCATTCTCTTATAATCAAAACTTTATAGCAATAAATTTTTATATAAATAAATTATAAAAGTTCTTTTATTATATATATAAAATGAAAACTATAAAAAATTCACATGATATCTTCACTAATAACTTCATTATCATCATTAATTTCATCATTATCATTGATTTTATTATTATCATCAATATCATTATCATCAAATATCATTATCATTATTAATATTATGAATATTAATATTGCAATCAATATTATCACTAATACTGTAGTCAGAAACCTTTGAATCTGAGCCTAAATTGTTAGAAAGTTTACATTTTTTAAAGGATTCAATAATAACTTCTGTAGAAATACCTTCCTAAACTCATTTAACTCATAAGTATATATTATTAAAGCTAGCACAGTGAAGATTTCTAGTTGTAGTTTCTCCTACTCCACCACTCACCATCTATTCATGTCATTCTTTACGGAGATTATCTTTGAATGGCTTATTTAATGAAATATCGAGTGATTGATATATGCTAATCAATCCACCTAGAATTATCATGAAATAAATACCTCTTACACGAAACTTTTCTTTAATTGATTTTTCTAAGTGGCCCCTGAAAGAATCATATACAAACATTGACGAATCCCTCTAAATTTTGATTAATCTGTAAATTATTAAGATAATTAATGTAACTTACCATTAGATTGCTATCCATCCAGTCATTGCTCTAAAATCAAATGATAACTCCAGGAGGAATATTTTTTTTGCATGATATTTGCTTATCTTTGATAATGCATATTGGGAAAAAGTTAAACCCATCTATAGTAAAGTAATGAAATAAATCGTCAGCTTATGAGAAATCATTGAATGAAGGATGGAATGAGATATGAATAGGATGAGAAAAGTGGTTAGAAAAAATTGAAAAGAAATAAAAAAGAAAAACAGAAAGAAAAAAATGGACGATACTTGCAGCAATCATAAGAATGACGGTAAATCGATTTTTCTCATTTCCAGTTGCTCAGACATGAACTGTCTTCTCTCCTTTCAAGTTAACTGTATAAACATCAGCTATGTTAAACCACACAGGTGTTTCATCTATGTTAAAAAATGTTTTTTAATTCAAAACATTTTTTGATTCTTAGGTTAGTAATGAAATTATAAAAACTTTCTAACAATTCTCGAGTTTTGTCAGGAAGTTTTTGAAATATTTTAGTTTTCTATATAATATAAGCTTATACCTTTTCATAAAGCTATGAATCTAGCACTGAAACATTTTAAATTCTTCCATTAAATCACTATAAAGAACCAACAGCTCTGGTTCTTTTAAAATTTTAAACATCCTGTTTCGTATGGTTCCATAGGTAACTGCAAAATCTTATTTCCTTTGTTCTATTATCCATGTATACAGTTTTTCTTCTAATTCTGGAAAAAAAGCTTTTTGGTTAGAACTAATACGCTTATTTATTTCATTCACTTCATCCGTCCAACAAGCGCTAGCATTTACCCAACGTCCTACCATGGTCATATCAAGATTAAAGTGTCTACCAGCTTCATTCTGACTATATTCCTTTGCGTAATTGACCACTTCTTTTTTTATTTAATGGAGTATGAGTTTCGTGTATGTTTAACAATTCGCGATATTATTTTTGAAATTAAAATTTGATCAACGTGAATTTTGGAAAATATTTCAGACTTTTTATTTTAAACTACCTGAAAATAAGCACTAGTGCCTTCCCGAAGTTTTACGCGTTTATAACAATTCTTCTGTTGTGTTTAATATTTAATTGTTGCAAAAAGAGCCCTTGATAAAAATTTCTCTAAAGTATCGAATCCGAAATTTAAGAGAAATCATTATCGGAAAAATTGAGAACTTTACACGGATTAGATACTCCGGAAACTGTATTTATGATAGTGTGATTATTTCTGATTAAGATGGCAAGTCACCTATCGGGATTTATTCAAAATTTCGGGTTGATGTGTGATCCTTGCTTGCCCGAGTTAAATTTTAACCAGTTAATGATATTTAGGCATATCCATTTATTATCTATCGGTTAACTGGCCTCAAGGAAAAATACGTTTTAATTTTTATTTTCTTGCTTAATATGCTAAATTTCAAATGTTTATTGTGATTCTCGATACATATATTTAGGTTGAACGAGTTGAGAAAGTTGTTATATCTCGAAGCTAATGCAGATTGTTCTGAAGCAAGAATCAGCAAAACATGTAGACAATAGAAGACTTTTGATTAAATTTATCTTTGAAATCTTTCATTAGATCCCGAGGAGAGATTATATATTTGCGCAAGATTACGCATGTAGGACAAGTACAAGTTTACGTATTACTGTGTCAAATGCGCGATTTCAGAAATCAGGTGATAAGACCATGGCACTAACAAGACACGTACGGTCGGTTATTGAACAGAAAAATGTCCGAGATGCTTCGATTAAAACAGCAACATGGTGAAGTTCCTCTAGAACCTATCGAAGATTTAACTAACATATCTTAAAACTTGTGCTTGATTTAAGCAGAGCAGATTGCAGAGCAATAGATATATAAAATTGTTACATTTATTTAGGTGCTTGATGAAAAGTTCGATAAATTTCGTTTAAGATCTTTAGTCTTTATGATCTTCCGAATTTATAATAGATTGATCCTGTATAAGTAATGACCGCTTTTTCTTCATAAGATCAAAAATAATTAAAAGCATGACCCACGACCTTTATATTTTGTCGAACTTTTCCCGGTTCGCTAAATATACTAGTAACGGTTTGCCGAGAAAGTGTGAAGGGTTTTTTTTTTTATATGAGAAATTGCCGTTGTACCTACCTACTGTTGTACAATTATTTCGGAAAGATTTTTTCGATGAATAAGTACTACGCATTTATCTTTTACTCCATCACCGTCATTGATAATCGTAGTCAAAGAATCGGCAAATTTGATCGCATCACGAAAATCTGGATCAGTGGATATTCACTGGGCATATGTGGGAAGGTTCGAGAACAAAAAAGGTTATGTTACAACGTGATTAGATAAATATGTTATTATATTTCCGCTCCTGCCCTCGCATTTCCTTATAAAAAATCCGTGATGATCGAAGTAGAATCTGCTAAAGGTAAGTTGGTTAGCGTATATGTAAGAAATCGAATAGAACACTAATACTTACTCACCTCACAACCAAACCGGCGATCCAAGAATCGAATTATTCGTCCATTTGAATCAACGTATTATTATCGCATCATGGAAATCCGGTCAATTGAGATTCCTATTTGCATATAAAAATAAAATAATCAATATGAGTTGTTGAAATTATTATTAAACCTCGTACTTGTCTTTTGGTAGAATAATGACCCATTATCCAAGAATTTCAACTAAAAGGCAAATTCGAACGTTGGATCGGCGAGAATCTGTAACAACATAACCCACAGCACCAAGATATTCTGGAAGTTTTTGAGAAAGAAGTAAATCACTACAGCTATTAGGAAGAGTCGGTTGATGGTGTATAAATTTTTTTTCCGAAGACCAAGGCTTCAGAGGCTTGATTAACATAAATGACGTCCCAATAAACGGAAAAATTTAAAAATCCACAGCCTAAATGAATTCAGAATTATTTTTTTTTTTTTGCGAATATACTTATAATAAATGAAAAGCAAGTTGTTAATATGTAATTACTTAAAGATAACTATCCATTCGTCTGTAACATAGGCAAATTTGCCTGCATAAGCATAGTAGTATGTGAAAGTCTAAAGGCGAATTTAACTTATTCTAGATTTGATTTCCAATTTTCAGCTACTGTATTACAAATGATCACGTTACACAAGGTCGATCAACCGCGCATAAAATCGCGATCGATCAAATTATAGAAAACCTAAACTATCACTCTTCTTTTTCGCAACTTCTCAACATGGATCTTCATTTCGCACAATTTTACCACCAGAAAAAACTAATTAACAACGAAATCGAAGATTTAGAAATTCTTTCTCTTTATCAAAAACAACAAGGTAAGCAAACAAACAACACATGTTTTTGGGAATGTTACTACAACACTCGTTGGTTCATAAAAGACAGCAACGTGCAAGAAATTCAGTGTACCATATTTGTGACATCAATAACTCAACTATTTTTATTTTTATTTTTTATCTTTTTTTTTTCGCTACCCGAAAATTTATTCTCATATCCTTGAAAATAACCCTTTCCTATTTTTTAAACTTTAACTAGAGAAATTTGTAAAAAATAAAAATCCCGTTAAAGGAGATAACGCAGCAAATAAAGTTAAATACGAAATTATGGTTCGAGGTAGATTTATAAGACCTGTTTATTGATTTTGTTAATTTCAGAAGAATACTTTAAAATGGGTTTCTCTTGATTAGTTATATGTATATGTATACTCATTTATTAATAATTATAATATCCCTCACAATATTAATAATTTACAGATGCTATTATCGCTTTGAAGGAACCTAATGGAAGCTTGTTAGAAAGCCTTTCTAGAGTTTTTCATTTATTTCAAAGTCTTTATTAACGACGCGTTTTTTTCCTCTTCCTTTACTAATAAATTTCACATAATTTTTTCATTTATTAATAATAGACGTCAAGCTATTAAAGATTTCCTCATAAACACATACAAACTTCCCGACAGGTCCTCTACGAACAAGCGTTTCCGAATGGCAATCAACAAAGGTATCGAGAAAGGCATTTTCTATCTTCCCGCTGGTAAATACATATGATTTATTTCTTTTTTGTTATATTTTTATATTTTTAATGTGATTTATTAAATTATCCCTTTTTTTTTAGGCCCAAAAGGTCCTGTCAAACTTACAAATGAGCATAAGATCAAGAAAGAAGAACCTGATAATGAGGAATTACTTGTCTCTTTGTCCAATGGTAATTACATGTGATTTTATTTCTTTCTCGTTAGATTTGTCATGTTTACATAAATTCCGTGATTCATTACATCGTTCTATTTTAGGCCAACGTGGTACTATCTAACTTATAAGGAAGAACGAAATGTAAGAACCCGAGAAATTGAAATAAGTATAGAATAGCATTAATAAACTTATATCAATATGTTTTTTTAAAAAGATTTAGTATATATAAATATATGATTAATATTCTGTAACAGCCTTATCTAAGTTTTCTTAATTAATCTTTATAAATATTTACAAATCTTTTTAATAATATATTAATTAAATTACATTTTATATTTACTTTATAAAAATAAAAAAAGTCATTTTCTTATTATCTTTATAGTATTTCTTTTATCTTTAAAGCAATTTGTTTTTTTTATTCAACTTAATAAAATTATATTATCATATTCAAATTATTCTAATTTAAAATAAATTTTATTAATTAATTAATATCATTATTTATTAATAATTATTTAATTATTATTAAATTTAATTTTTAAAAAAGGAAAATTAATAAAACTAAATAATTTACTTTATGATATCTTAAAAAATATTATAAAATTAATTTTAAAAAAAAAAATAAAGTTATTATTAATAGATTAATTATAATTTAACTTTTTTAGTAATTTTATTATAAAAATAATTAAAGTATTTTTTTATAATAATAATTTTAGTTTTATTAATTTAATTATATATTATATTTTAAAATTATTATTTATTATTTATTATCTATATTTTTATCTTTAAGTAAAAATAAACAAAATTGATAATTAAATATTAATAATCATTTTAATTATTTTTAATCAGAAAATTTAAAATAATAAAATATTATTTTTTTTATATATAAATCAAAATCTGCATTTCTTTAAATTTTAAAAAAAAATAAATATTATAAAAAAATCAAAATACAAAAATGTCATAAATTATATCTATTATTAATTTTTTAAAAACAGATATTTCTGCAACTATGAATAATATCAAGTAAAAAACATCAGGTAATAAAATCATGTTGAATTAATCAACAGAATATTATATCAAAAAGATTAGATTAATTTGAATTATTTATTAAATTTATAAAATTTATTTGATCTATCATATTTATCTTATTTTTAAATATTACAAATATTTATAATTCTTATTATAATAGATAATTCTTTTTATTATTATTTTTATTTATTTATTTTATTGTTATATTTATTTAAAGTCTAACAAATTGAAATTAAACAAAAACTCCTTATTATAGCATACTTACTGATAACTTTCTATCTTAGATTCTATATAAGATCATCACTTTCTTCATAATTTTGTTCAGATAATATCTTATATTATCTCTAATGAAGAGTTAGTTAAATGTTACTTCTTTATTGTAAAAGTTAGTAATCTTTTACCTAATATAACTAACTTTTCTGTCACATAAATACTCAAAACCTTTAATGTAAAATATTGGCAAATTTCCATCAGTAAATTCAAAATTCAAAAGTTAACCACATATTTGTATACTTTAAATTTTAGATTAATCTAAATCATTTTATGAAACAAAATCTTTCATTTAAAAGTTAACCTTTATATATTATACTATCTGATAAAAAAACTTATTTAATTTGCTCAAGTCCTCACTATTTTAAAAGATCTTATAATTAAGTTAAAGAGTGGCCTAATCTTGAAAAACATAAAATTAAAATTAACACTTTGTCTAATATTGAAGATTCTCTTTTAGATATTGAAAATAAATTAGAATCCAAATTTTTACCTTCAACTAAAATACTTTTTTCAGACTCTTCTTTCTTTACATAGGATAGAACACTTATTTTTAGTATCTTATATAAAATGTAACATCTTATGAAAGAAATGTTCAACTATTTCAAAAAATATATCAATAAAGGATTTTCTTATATCACTGAAATAGTAGACATTATTCTTCCTTCAAATATTGACAGCAAATATGACAAACTAGTTAAACAAATTCTTTTCAGTTAACTAAAATATCTTTTTCAGATTTTTATAGTCTCTTATAATCATTTTTATTGGTTAGCCAAAAGAGTTCATTACCAATACCCTTGCAGCTATTCTGCAACTATTACTCTCATAAAAATAAAAAGATTTTTGATTTTTTTACAATTTCATTCCAGTTAATTAAATAATTAGGTACTTTTTCTTTTATAGAACTATTTTAAGTATAAAATTTCTTTTTAATATAATATAAAATTTTAATTTTAATTTTATTTTATTCTGTTTACTAATCCTAAAAAATGATATTCTTAGTTTAGGTTGATTTTTGATTTTAAAAGATATATGATTAATTAGTCTTAAATTAGTTAATATTAAATTATATAATTTTTGTAAATATTTTTATTTTATATAATTTATTTTATATAAAATTATTATTATTTTTAATAAAAATTTTGAGATCTACTGTATTTTAAAAAAACTATGTAATCAGTGTGTGATTTTAGCAGTGTGGTCATGTGCGCTTGCATATGATTGATGATTTTCTGCACATAATACTTTTTTAATATGTGCGCAAATCCGCATTGCGCACAAATCCTGCACAATTGTAAATTTCTGCACAATCCCGCATAGTTACGCACAAAATCCCACAAAAATTCTGCACTATGAAATTATCATTTCAGATCATCTAATTTTTATTTAAAAAAAAATTTGAACTAATTACAAATTA